CAGGTCCCATTTCCTACCTGCTGTCATTGGATACTTGTAATTTAGTTTACCATGGAATATGCAAAAAGTATGCAAAAAATGTAGTATTTTGTGATCTTAGTGTTTTTGTTAATTTTAAAGAGCAGAATATGTGGTAAAGAGAAATACTCTCATTAATTTTGTTTAGTATGTTTTATAAAACTATCAAAAATTGAAGAAATATGAGATCTTGAATCACTGGCTTCTTTTATACAATGTGATATTATGATAGACAAATACTAAAAATCACAAAATACCTAATAAACATAAACCAAGGAAGGAAACGAAGTTGTGAAAGAAACAAGAGGAAAGAAGTGGGGAAAGGAGAGGGAGGAAGGAAAGAGGCAAGATGGTATCTGGAGCTCTGCCATGTAGAGTGGAGAAAGCACGGGTGAAAGTTTTTTGGTTTTGGTTTTTGCGAGTTTTTGTTTTTGTCGTGGGGCTTGAACTCTTGGCCTGGGCTCTGTCCCTCAGCTCTTCAGCTCAGGACAAGTGCTCTACCACTTGAGCCACAGCACCACTTCAGTTTTCTGGTGGTTAATTGGAGATGAGTCTCACGGACTTTCCTGCCTGGGCTGGTTTTGAACCACAATCCTCAGATCTCAACAGGTAGAGTTTTTGGTGGGCTCTCTTCTGTTCTGCTTCCTGCCTCAAGCTTCTGCAGGATGATCATGGTAGCAATGACTATGGAGGTACTTGAAGTATGGCAGTTCTGTCAATGGCCACAAGCTTACACCTTCAAAAACAGGCTATGAACTCTGCACCCTTCCCCCCATTTGAGATGCCAGGTTTATGTTGATCTCCAGCTGGAGCAGTTAGGAATGGGTATGAGCCAACCAGCACTGTGGTGGCACAAAAGCACCTGCTTTCCCTAGCCTCCTGTTTCCCAAGCACCCACAGAAGTTGGAGAATGTGACGGTAGTGCAGTGGAAGTTCCATATTCCATAGCCAAGAAGATAGATCTGGTACTCTATCCAATAGGCTTGTCTTGAATAGGTCACCATTCTTCCAGTGACATTTTTATTGGCAGTAAAAGGAACAGGTACAGGACATTATTGGTTGCAGCACAGCATGCTCAGGTGGTGGAAAGAGTGGTGGCAGAGGTGGTAATGGTGCAGCAGTAACAGCAAATGTGATGAGGTGGAAAAACATCAGCTTGCTTTAGGATGCTCTTAGTTATAGCTCTTTAATTGGAGCCATTTCCAGTGCTCTTAATTTTTCTCTAAATTCTACTTTCCATATGGAATCATTTCTCTTCGGCAAGAAGACATTTTCAGCATACTGTATTGCAGTTCTGTTGCTTCAAACTCATATGCCTATGTGCAAATATCCCCATTTAACCCTTATTCTTGGTCTCTTTTACAGTCCCCAAGCAACCACTGTTCAGCTATTTCTATAAATTATATTTTCTAAAATCCTGTATAAATAGAAATATACAATACAGATTATTTCCCCAAGAGTCATTCTTTTTTGTTGTTGTTTTTTTTTTTT